ACATTAAAACATTCAAAATAATTACGAGGTAAAAGATATAATTTTGGTTGCAATGAAACTTACCTTAAACCGCGATAAATCTTAACGGAAACATCTACTTCGATCTTCTTCAAATTCACCTTCTAAAATATTAGAATTGTATAATTAATAAGTATTCTAGTCCCTTAATAATTATTCCCTAACTACGATTTGTTCAACCCTTTTATAATCATTCACCCAATCTAATTTAGTTGCATCCATTTTATTAGCCAATCCAAATACCAGATTTCATTTTATACTTATTATGATTATTCTTTTAGTTTTATACTACGTATGTTAATCGGCCCATCATAGTTTTCACTATTTTCTTTTGATAACATAGTCCAGCCCAATAGAATAAAAGGAGGTAGTTTGTAGGGAGTATACGGTTACGTACTGTTTCTTTGTCATCTTCATCGTCAACTCCAGGCCAGTGAACGGTTCTTCTCAAACCGCGGCCGTGTTAGCAGGGCAGATCATGGGCAGAGAAGCTCCTTGGAAGTAGCAGCGGCGGCGACAGCTCCTTCCTCCGACGTTGTGTGGTGTTTAACCGGCGGCGACAGGCAACTTCGGGCTTCTTCTTCCAACAACGTGTGACGGCAGAGATGTGTAGGCATGTAGCAGCGGCACCCCGGCGTTTATTCCTTCTCGTCCGGCGAAGGTGGTTTGGCCAACGATTTCTTCACTCCGGCGATGGAAGCGACGTGGTCCTCCCTTCTCCGGCGGTAAGGTTGCTGTTTTCCGGCGGCACTTGTAGTTTTTTTTTCTTTGTTGTTCGGCGTGTGTAGAGTCGTTAATTGCACGTATGTGTATATATATATATATATATATATATATATATATATATATATATATATATATATATATATATATATATATATATATATATATATATATATATATATATATATATATATATATATATATATAGGCATACCCGCATATGGCGAAGGTTCTAGTCTCGTGACCCCTCCGTCTCCTGCACTACAAGCTTGCATTTTATCTTCTGGTTTGCAGATGGCATTCTCACGTGTATTAAGGAGGAAGAAGATTCTGGACTGTACGTTATATTTGTTAGAAAATCTTTCTCCTTTAATACCATTTATTTCACAGACCGGTTGAATGTGTATTCTTAACTTATGTAGGAGCATGCGTATTAGGAAGAGTCAACTTTTTTTTTATTAATTACTAATATTAATATATATTATTATTATGGTACATACATAGTCTGGCTATTTAGTTCTGCACTTCACTAATACGTACATGGAGTTTATTAGCCGCAACATATACTATACGTAATCCGGTATGGAGTATGTTTAAACTAATCTTTTATTTAGTTTTAATTGTATTCATATTATTAAACCACTCCTAATAATTTGTTGAGATGTCACTTTTCTCTTGGAAATTTATCTCACTAATAAAAACGTTACCTTTGTCACATGCTAATATTATCTATTTTATATTTTTTTTTCGGATAAACTGTATTATGTTTTTTTATTGTATTTTTATTTTAAATTTTTAGGGTGTAACATTATATCCCCGTTAAAGAATGTTTCGTCCTCGAAGCATAAGCTAAGACGAAAAAAGTTCATTTTTTTACGAGTGTTTTAATCTACCTCGCTTAAATAATGTTATTTTGACATTTTATCTAATCAAGTTATTATTTTATTTAAATTTTCGGAGTGTCACAGCTCGCAACTTCGAACGAATGTTCGAGATCTAGGTCACCCCACCCCTTTTAACTTATTATGTCGGCCAAAGAGTTTTAATTGTTTTTGTCCGAGTCCAACTAAACCGATGAGGCCCAACTTTTTTGGGCTAAACGGACCATCACTCTTTCTTCTTTTCTTTTTGGGCTCTAAGTCCACTTCCAACCTATAATGACTTTTCTCCTCTATTAATAAAATTGGTAAGCGTTTCCCGACGCTTACCCCGTCGTTTCCCGACGGCACTTCGGGTTTAAAAAAAATCCTCTTAAATTAATCTCCGGTATTACACCCGAGGATAGTCATCCAGTGATACACTTTCATCTCTATTTTTACTTAGGTGAACATTCAATCCAGAAGGAGTTTTCATGGGCTTGATATTATACTTCTTGAACTTATCAAGCATTTTGTCAATATAATGTGATTAAGACAATACCAACCCCACAGGTGTTCTTGTGACTTTAATTAAAAGAATTACATCAGCAACACTGAGATCCTTAATTTCAAACTTCTTTGCCAACATATTTTTGGTAAACTTTGTTAAGTTTTCATTACTACCAAAGATGAGTATATCATCTAAGTATAGACATACTATCCGTAGTCCTCATGATTTCCCTTTACATAAACACATTTGTCAGCCTCATTGATTTTAAATTCATTTGACAGCCTTACGCCATTGAATTTATTATGCCATTGTTTGGGAGATTGTTTTAGCCCATAAAGAGATTTTACTAAGTGACACACCTTTCTTTCTTGTCCGAGGACAATGACACCTTGAGGTTGTTGCATGTAAATGTCTTCCTCTAAGTCACCATTCAAGGATGCGGTTTTTACACCCATTTGATGGATTTCCAAAGCCTTCAATGCAGCTATTGCTAATAGTGTTCGAATTGAAGTTATTCTTGTAGCCGATGAGTAGACATCAAAGTAGTCATACTCTTACTTTTGTTTGCACCCTTTAGAAACCAATCGAGCTTTGTAGGTCTCAATTGTTCTATCACTACTTCTCTTCTTTTTGAAGATCCATTTACATCCTAGATGTTTAGATTGAGGAGGCAAATCTACCATATTCCATACGTGGTTAGATATGATGAAATCCATTTCACTCTTGACGGCCTCTTGACATTGTTCAGCGTCTTATGACGACATGGCTTCCTCAAATGTTTTAGGTTCATCATCCAATAGGTACACAACAAAAATCGACAAGAAATCCTTTTACGTTGCATTTCACTACATTGTTCTGCCACTTCATTGTTATCTTTTATTGAATCAAAGGATCTCTTATGTGAATTTGTTTCTTTGGCATGGGTTGGAGTGAAAACATCCATGTCGGAGGAGACAATTTCACAATCTCCCTTGAAAGGGAATACATTCTCAAAGAATGTAGCGTCTCTAGATTCTATAAAAGTGTCGGCCACTGCATCCTCATTATATGATTTGTGGACAAGGAAACGATATGCACTGCTATTTTGTGCATATCCAACAGACACAATCAATGGTCTTTGGTCCAAGTTTTGTTCTTTTAGGTTTGGGAGTACCTACTTTAGCTAGACATCCCTACACCTTCAAGTATTTGAAACTTGGTTTTTTCCCTTTCCATGACTCATATGGAATCTTGTGTGTTTTCTTGTGGGGAATTCTATTTTAGAATGTAGTTGGTAGCTAGAATAGCACCCCCACAAATTGTTTGATGCACAAGAACTTACTAAAATGGAATTAACCATGTCCTTTAAAGTCCTTTTCTTCCTTTCGGCTACACCGTTTTATTGGGGCGTATAAGGAGCGGTTACTTGTTGAATAATTCAAAGGGATATTCATACTCACTACCTTTGTCACTCCTTAGTGCCTTGATTTTCTTGCCAAGTTGATTTTCAACTTCGACTTTATAATGCCTAAAGACATCAATCGCTTCATCTTTGCTTCTTAGCAAATACATATAGCAATATCTAGCTACAGCTCTCATCGATGAAGGTAATGAAATACCTTTTCCCGGCTCTAGTTTCTTCATACTTAAGATCACAAAGATCCATGCGTATGAGATCTAGCGGTTCCGTGTCTCTTGTGATAGTTTGAAAAGGCATTCTAGCCATTTTGGCTTCCATACAAACTTCATATTTATGATTAGGATCAAACCAAGTTTAATCTAAATGCATAATTTACGTGTCATAATCTAGCATGTCAAATAATAGATGACTCAAACAAATAAGAAGAATTAAATTTATTATTATTTACAGCATTGTTTGGTACAACAATCAACACATTCATTTTTAAGAATCCATCACTAAGATACCCTTCCAACAAATACATCACTTTTCTTTGTAAACACAAATTTATTGGATACAAAGACTAGCCTAGAACAATTCTTTCTTAGAAGGGAGCCCGAAATTAAATTCTTACTTATGGTTTCCGGCGTTTTACTCATAGTTGCGGTTATCATCTTCTATCTTCAAACGGGCTATGAGCACCTCTAGAGTCATTTCCTTACTTTCATGCTTCAAGTAATTCTTGAAGTTTTTCAATTTCGGGGGTAATTTTTCAATTACAACCGCCACTTGGGAAGACTCGCTAAGGGACATACCCTCAGCATGAATCTCAAGAACAATAAGTCGGAACTTTTCAACTTGAGAAACAACAGATTTGTTATCAACCATAACAAAATCAAGGAAATGACCAACAATGAATTTCTTCTTCCTTGCATCCTTAGTTTCGTATTTTTCCTCAAGTGATTTTCGAATTTCCTTTGCCGTTTTCATATCGGCATAAACACAACAGAAGGAGTCATCAAGCCCATTCAAGAGATAGTTTCTACACAATAAGTCGGAGTACTTCCAAGCATCCACCACCGCTACTTTTTCCTTATCTGTTTCGCCATCCTCTAACAGAGGTTGATCTTCGGAGATACATTTAGAGGAATTCAAAGTGGTCAAATAGAACAACATATTTTGTTGCCAACGTTTAATGTCATGACCATTAAATTTACCAAGTTTCTCTCCATATATGGGAGTGCGATATAGGAACACAAGTGTGCGGTTTAGATTTAGGAGTGACAATGTTCTTTTGGTTATCCATTCTGTTTGCACCACTGGCGGAGGTAGGGGAGGGCCATGCTGGGCCCTGTCCCAGTGTAGATTGGGACAAAGCTTTTAGGAAATATTTATTGGAAATTAAATTCACTGCTATCAAATTACTAATTACAGCCACTAAATTAATTAATAGTAAATAAACATAATTAAAATCCCTAATGTAACCTTATGACTAGATAACGATCGCCACTCACTCTTATCACGACGAGGCTAGAAAAAGCTGTAAAGCAATCAGAAATCTGGGAAGGCAGTACATCCAGAAACGCAGAAACGAATCTTGGGATGGTCTCAACTCTCAAGCGCAGAAGACCAGAAAGGAAGAAGGCTAGAAAAGCTGAAAGACAAAAAAATCTGTATTTAGAATTTCCCTTCCCCATAGACGAAAAGAAATCCATCTCGTCATTTAGAAAACCTATCTTCATCTTTCTAGTTTAAACATTCCTCGCTGCATCCATTCGATCGGGTTGGTGGAAGGTGGAAAACTGAGGATGGAAGAACACGATCTTGATGCCATGGCATCTGGGTAGTTTTTTCTTAAATACTAATTGTCTGGTTTTCACAATCTCGGCCATCCACAGGAAGCTCCAATTACGTTGTGCTTTTTACATTATTTCATTTACTTTATGTATTAAACTACATATGTATCAAAATGCAATAGTGAAAATACGTAAACTAATGAACATGCACTAGATGGATAAAATTTGTATATACAAACAAGACCGATCAAATTTGTATATATAAACAAAAGTGTAACAATTGCAACGTCCAATCATCATCCAGTATTATGAAATAAATCTGCCGCCAAATTTAATAACATGCAGCGGCAATAAAATCTACTAAAAATATAAAGCCTCTAAGGAAGTTAGATGGTTGTTTTTCCGTGTGTACGGTGCCCGCATTTGACCTCCCGTCTGTTATCTCTGTCTGATAGCGTGGTCTACTGCTCTTCTCACATTCTTTCTCCTCAGTTTAATCTACCTATCTCATCTCCTCATTTATAATCATAAGCTAGGGTTCACACAGCCCATCGTCGATCTGTAGAAATCTTCTGTCGAAGGAGCCGCTCTCTATGTCCATCTGCAGAAATATTCCGTCGAAGGAGCCGCTCTCTATGTCCATCTGCAGAAATATTCCGTCGAAGGAGCCGTTGAGTGCCCGGCCAAACCCCCAAGGCTGGAAGGCCCCAAACCCCCAACTACCAAGACCGATCACTAGCGAAGCGGCGATAGTGAAACCGTGCGAGACAGAAAATCGGAAGACGCTGCTCGGTCTGATTTATTGCTTTCTCCGTGGCCCTGTTCTTCCTCTGTTGTTTTTGCAATCCGGCCTTCCAGACTTCCAGAAATCCAACGTTGCAGGTTTTAGTAGTATTTGTTAGTCTTTTGCATAATAGCAACCGACATTGATGATTTCTTCACTTCCTTATGCGATTGGCCATGAATTAGGAGTATGGGATTTTGGAATTTTGCTGTCGAGTGTTCTACAAACTACAGAACATTCTCTACGCCATTGCTATGAATAAGTTGACTCATTAATCATTATATGCATTTTTATTAATTAATAACATGATAATGTTTGACTGATTGTTAATTTCTTATAATGTTGTTGTTATTTGTCATTATGTTTTGTACTAATGTTTTATAATTGTAATTGGATTTGTCTTTTAGTTGTTTTATCTATAACTTTTTATAATTGTATATTGTAATTCAAAAAATAGATGAAATATTTGATACAGTATGTCTATGGTGTAGTGCATATGAAAAAAGATGACATTTTTTAACTTGCAAGGTTTAATTTTAGAATAATTATGGGATATGAATGAAGGATTTCAATGTGATAGGTATGTTCTGTGATCGATGCAGCTGAACTATGTAGATATACACATCCAGACAGGTCAGTTTTTTTCCTCTGTCCAATTGAATGAATTTATACTGCTAACATCTAGGATTAAATTCTAGGTTGTTTATTTGATCCATAGGGAATTTGTTGAGGAGGCAAGCAAAGCATCTTCAAGACTTAATGACTTTTTACTCTTCATTGACTGTAAGGTTTAGTGTTCACTATTCGGTATATCATTCTATTAGTTGATTGGTTTTTTGCCGATGGTTTAGTTTCTGTGTCCGGATTGTGATGCTACAGGGTATCTATATATAGCTGGTGTTGGCTTATAGCTATTTGTTGACTGATATACATGCCTATTTGATTTTATATATGAAGCATATTATTGTAAAATCAAATATGAAATTGTTTAGGTTGGAAATTCTGTCCTAGTTCTTGTGAAATATAAAAGAATTTGAACTACTGAATAAGCATTATTTCTGCCTCTTTATCTTTTATTTATTTATTTATTTATTCACAATGAGTGTTGAAGGTTGTCACATGGGTATCTTGAGAATGTCATTCCCCAACTGTGTGCAATTTGTTTCATAGGTGAATCAAGTGAAGGGTGAAGATGTTGTTTGTGTGGTAAAGAACTCAGCAGCTTTGACTGGATTGTTATTCACTCTACATGTTTCTCAAGTCCTTATTGATCTCCCTACTCTTTCTGACAAAGATAAAGAGGTACTAACCATAACCTCTCACAACTTCATATATACTGTTTTCCTTTTTATATATTAGAAGGTGTTATGTTATTAAATACATATACATTTTCATGAGGAATTGAGGATGTTTATCTTTTTTTTTTATTCACGATGAGTGTTGAAGGTTGTCAAATGGGTATCTTGAGAATGTCATTCCCCAACTGTGTGTGATTTCTTTCATAGGTGGATCAAGTAAAGGGTGCAGATGTTGTTTGTGTGGTAAAGAACTCAGCAGCTTTGACTGGATCGTTATTCACTCTACATGTTTCTCAAGTCCTTATTGATCTCCCTACTCTTTCTGACAAAGATAAAGAGGTACTAAGCATAACCTCTCACAACTGCATATAAACTGTTTTCATTTTTATATCGTAGAAGGTGTTATGTTATTAAATACATATACATTTCCATGAGGAATTGAGGATGTTTATTTGGTTATTGATGTACAAAATAAAAATTTGACAATTTTTCTAAGTATCCTAGCAAAAAATCACCATTATAGATTATTTTTTCTCAGAGTAAGGTTCTTTTTTACCTAGCTTTGGTAAAGTTGCTTCCATAAAACCACTTTGTTAATATAGCTACTAAATACAATTAGTTTAATTTTTTGAGATATTTGAAATTCTGTCAAATATAAAAGCATATTGCAGTTTAGTGTTGCACTTGATACTGCTCTTGAAACTGTCTATGAGGAAATTTCTGTCCCAGGCTCTTTTGATGATGGTTTAGGAGCCAGTAATGGCACACTGACCAATTTGGGTACTTTGGTAGGCTTAGATGAACCCCCGATGACTACCTCTAACAAGGCAGTAACCGTTGGTGAAGTTCATCCGCTTTTTATTCTCACTTATGCTCGCTTGATTGATGCCACTACTACTCACAGAAAATACACAACATCTTCTGGAGATGATGAATTTAATTTCGATCCACCTGAAGTTGAAACTGATGCTTATACTACAGTTAACTCAAACTTGTCCTATGATGATGCTCCATCTGAGGACCTCTCTGTTTCCCACAAATTTTCTATTTTTACAGGTATATCGGTACCCGAGACAGACTGCCCCAACAAGTTTCTGAAATGTTACAGGTACAAACATCCAAACCATTGAGGATTCATGGTTGAAAGGAAAAATTTTAAATTGGCATTCGGTTAAGGTTATGAATTAAATACGCGATTAATCTTTTTGTTTAGGAGTCATATTCACCATTGTCATATTCACCATTGTCTGCATCAGGTAACTGAATCGATATATTTTTTTGTTGATGTTTTCTTGATTATTTTGCCATCCTTATTGTTGATGTCACTGCAATCGTTACAATCATGAACATCTCTTTTCTGTTTCGTTTGCTTTTAAACAATGCAATTGTGTACGTGGATGATTGAAATGTTGTTTCATCTTTCTGGTTTAAATTGTTTTTCCCATTTTTTGGCTTGTTCCCTGGTATTGGGCACGGATTACGCGCAACGCGCGCTACTGCGCTAGTATTTATAATAAACTTGCAATCATATGAACAAACAAATTGCAGATTGATACATAAAAAACAAAGTTATGCAAGGAAACAAAGTGTGCGGTTTATATACACAAGAGAATAATAAAAATTTATAAGAGAAATTTGTCTTAAGATTGTTAGTTACGTATCTCGGAAAACAGAAAAATAAATAAATAAATAAATAATTATGAAGAACGAGAAACGTACGGAATTAAAGAGGATTGAACCGAGCCCAACAAATGCTTGTTGTTTCCTTAAGACAAATTTGCCCGCAGCAATTGTCTCCCAGGATAGAACAGTTTTTCGTTCCCAAAGGACACCAGCGAACCAAATGATGCACTAAAGTGGAGGAAGTTGGATGAGGAAAATGAAGAAAACTTGTTGCAAGTTTCGGACTTCTACTCTATTGAAAAATGCAGGCCTCCTAATGGGATTTATAGTGCTCTGGTCAGGAGACACAATCCCAAAAGGTGCCTGTTAAGAAAAGGTAGCGACCCTTCTCTTAAAGCTGCTTTCATCCGAAATTAATTTGTACAGAAAAAAATGTTTAAGTCTTATAGCCACGCGAGTACCCACCTATACCCGAAACCCGACCCGACCCGTCCAGTCGGCCGGACGGCGGCATTGGCACGGTACAAGTCCTACACGAACATTCCTTTAAGGAGAATTTCAGGATATAATGTCTCATTCATTTCAAAATGATTTTCTACAAATAATATATAATTTGTAAAACCATTTTTCCAACAATTAAAACTCCCAAGGGAATTCTTCTCTCCTAACACAGTCAATCTTGTTGGCACTCCACTTCTTTCCGAAACTACTCTCTCCTTGACTAATGGTTGACATCTCACTAATGTTACTAAGTATCGTAAGGCCCGAGGTAGTTACTCCTTCACAACCTCTAGAACTCTAACTTATCCTCACAAACCACCACAAGCCTTTTCCGCGAACTTTGTCCTCACTCACGCGTGCCATGAGAAACTTCACAGGGGGTATCCCATCTCATGCAAGCACACTTAACTTGGGGTTCTTAGCTGATGAGATCCCTTAAAAGGATATGCACATTGTTGGTATGAGTAGTACTATTAATCATTTTAAATTAATCTCAAGTGTTACAATCACCCCCACTTAGGAACGCAACGTCCTCTTTGCGCCTATAAACCAATCTTTGTCAAACCCCTGAATCCTCACTTGCTAAGTGTCTGCCCGATATCCAACCGATTAGTACACGGTCGCAGGGATGCTTTGATACCACATGTAACACCCCGCCCCGTAGGGCCCGAGGTAGTTACTCCTTCACACGATCTAGACCTCTAGTACTATCCTCACAAACCACCACAAGCCTTTTCCGCACACTTTGTCCTCACTCATGCGCGCCTTGAGAAACTTCCCGGTGGTCACCCATTCTAAGACTACTCCCGTACAAGCACGCTTACCTTGTTGGTATGAGTAATACTATTAATCATTTTAAATTAATCTCAAGTGTTACACTTTTGGGGATAATCTCCTTTCTTGACGCTCAAAGAAGCAACTGGAGAAGAATATCATGCATGATCATACACTGTTCAGAACACCTTATCTATCCGTTCATTACTTGCCGATATGGGGTTTTTCATTCCCCAGCCGGTTCAGTTATATTGCAACACTGTTTGTGCATCCTATTTAATGGGTAACCGAACACCGGTACAGACATGTCACTAATGAGCAAGAATTTGTACTTCATTTTTATATTATTTTATTACAATTCTATGCTTATCATTTGCCTAATTGAGAGGCTTAAAGTTATATTATGTGTTAAAAATGACTTTTACAGGTGAGGATTTTATTTGAAGGAGTTGAGGACTTTTGGACCGATTGTGGGCTTTTACTTTTCTAAGAAACTGCTGTAAAATTAAAAGTGAGCCAAATAATTTTAAAGAAATTGGCTCGTGCCCACCAAACAAAGAAAAAAGAGGATTACTCAACGGCACCCACAATCTATTTAGAAGAAAAAAGGGAAAACTGTCAATTACACCCTCGTACTATGGGCGAACCCTCAATTGAGCCCTCCTACTTTGATAACCTTCAATTGAATCCGCCAAGTCTCCAAAATCAATCAATTAGGTCTACATTACCGGTTGGTTCCCGGTTTGCCCGTTGCTTGCCTTCCTGGCGCTGATGTGGACTTTGCCTATCGGTCTTTCAGTGCTGACTCACTTAAATCATTTTACTTCCACTATCCACATCGTGCCCTAACCTTCATTGACGACCTTAATTCGAAGCTCTGCGAGAAGATAAGCAACATAGCACTCCTCGACGTTGGTCATCCACTTCTCACCGTCCACGTGAAGAAGACAAACGCCAGGTTAGTTTATAGTTGTAAGTCTACCGTATTTACATGAGGTTGGTGATTTGTGTTTGTATTTGTCGCATGAATGTTGCTATTGTGATGATATTATTACGTGAAGCGATAGTCATTTGCACTTTAGAAACGTTCGTTTGGGTCATTGTTCTTTATCTAATAAAAATTTACACATTCCCAAATCTGATTTCAATATTTTCATATGTACAGCATGTTTGACAAGGTTGAACTAATCATTCACCATGGAGGAAATTTGAAGTCTATTCCTGAGATAATATACGTAGGTGGTGCAGTTGATGTCTTACCAATTGACCCAGATTTGATTTGCTATCCTCATTTAATGAAGTGCCTAAAAATGGGTAGTTATGGTAACATTAATGCTCTGTATTACAAAAAATGAAGGCAAAGTATGAAATCTTTAAGACACTTGTCTGATGATAAGTCAACCCTTCATCTCATACAGCAGGCTACTAGTTGTGGACAGTGTGACATATTTGTGGAACATGGCTTAGATGAGGTGGAATTGGTTGAACTTCTGCCTGCACCTGAAGCATCTCAACCTGAAGTTGATGTGACTAGAGTGGAGGGCCCAAGCAAAGAGGCTGTTGCTGAACATGAGGGTGTTCATATACATACACATGAAGTCGAAGAGAGTGGAGGCCACATTGATGGTACAAACAAAGACCATGTTCCTGAAGATGAGCTTGGAGCAAGTGAACATCAACAAACAGGTGCCCATATTCATGAAGATGTTGTTGTTGAAGATGAGGAGTCCAATGTCAGTTCAGATGAATCATGGAAGGCAGATGAAGGTCAGACACATGAATCATGGATGTAAGAAGACTCTGAGGCAGATGAGTCATGGATGGAAGAAGAATCTGAGACAGAAAAAGCTGCATCAACTGACCATCAAGAGAGAGATGAGGATGAGGTCAATGAAGATATACTGGGCTCTGAACACATACCTACGCAACAGGGGGCAAACACGTGTAATGATAGTGAGAATGAGGAGAACAGTACAGAGTATGATTCATCTAATCCCCGCAGCTACATGTCTGAGGATGAGGATGATTCTGGGAGGTGTAAAAGGTCAGACAACAGGTATGCTTCATTTAATCCTGAATCAGAGCCCCCAAGTTTTGATGTTGGCATGTTCTTTGAAGATGGAAAGCAATTTAAGAATGCAGTCATTAAATATGCTGTGTTTGAAAAAAGAGATTTGTATTTCAAGAAAAATGAGCTTGAGAGAGTTAGAGTGAAATGTGGGAAAACTTGCCTTTTTCTTTAACAGCTTCATGGGTGGAGAGATTGAAGTGTTTTCAGGTCAAAGTTTTCAAAGAAGGACATAGCTGCAATCTGAGGTATAGGCTGAGAATAGTGTGCACCAAATGGGTAGCTGACATGTATGAGGAGAAAGTGGTTGAGAATCCATCAATGGGTGCAGTGGAATTGAAAAATCTTATCAAGGCTGAGTATAAACTCAATGTGTCTGAAAGCATGGCCAGCAGAGCTTTGAAAGCTATTGAAGAGAAAAACCAAACTGCTTTCAAAGACCAATTCAAAAAGATCAGGAACTATGCAGAGGAATGCCTTCAGTCAATACCTAATAGTACAGTTGTCATCAAAACTGTGAGAGTTGTCCCAGAACAACCAAGTGTATTCCAACGCATTTATGTCTGCTTTGGACCAGTGAAGAAGGGTTTTATAGAAGGGTGTAGGAAGATCATTGGTGTAGATGGATGTTTTTTAAAAGGACAAATGAAGGGAGAGATATTGAGTGCTGTAGGTAGAGATGCAAATAACCAAATGTATCCAATCGCATGGGCTGTGGTTGAGATAGAAAATACCTCATCTTGGACTTGGTTCTTGGAGTTGCTGCATAATGACTTGGATGTTACTGCCCCAGATGAGTGGACCTTCATCAGTGATCAACAGAAGGTTAAGTATCTTCATAACTGCTTACATGTTGTCCATTAATGTATATGATATGAACTTTCATCCTCTATATGTTCCGCATAAGTGGTTAATATTTTTTTTGTAGGGCCTGGCTAATGCAATTACCAGAGTCTTCCCTAACTCTGAGCACAGGAACTGTGCACGCCATATTCATGGTAATTGGAGCAAAGCACATCGAGGGATGAATCTGAAGAAGTTGTTTTGGCAGTGTGCGAAGTCAACATGTGAACCTCAGTTGGAAGCTAATTTAGCTGAGCTAGATAAGGCTGATGCTCAAGCAGGTATTGACTTACGCAAACACCCATTCAAGTTATGGTGTAAAGCTTTCTTTAAGGATGCAGTGAAGTGTGACACAGTTGAGAACAACCTGTCTGAGGACTTCAATAGCACACTTCTAAAAGCAAGATCCAAGCCTTTGATCCCAATGCTTGAGTACATTCGTGTTGCAACAATGAAAAGGATAGCCAAGAAGAGAAAATATGTTCTGAAATGGCCAGGTCTGGTTACACAGTAATATGTACTATTGATTATTCTATTTGATTATCAAATCTTATTAAGCATTTTTGTTTTCCAAATCTTATGCAGGTTCATTTGGTCCAATAATAATGAAGAAGCTGAATACTAATATTCTAGCAAGTCAAGGATGGAATGTGGATTTCAATGGTGATGATGGATATGAAATCAAGAAAGGAAGAGGGCAATTCAAAGTTAGTCTTAAGAAGAGATCATGTTCTTGTAGAAGGTGGGATCTCAGTGGTATCCCTTGTGCCCATGCCATTTGTGCCATCTATGACAAGGGGGAGGAGGCAGAAGCATACGTTGACCACTGTTACAGTAAGGAGATGTACCAGAAAACTTACTCCTACACATTGCATCCTATCAATGGGGAGCTGTTATGGCCTAGAACCCAACATGAAGAGATCTTACCTCCTTTGCCAAAGAAGATGAGTGGCAGACCCAAAAAGAAGCGTGTAAGGGAACAAAGTGAAGCACGTCCACCCAGTTCTTCACAACTCTCAAGAAAAGGGCGCATCATGACTTGCTCATTGTGCGGAGGAGAAGGCCACAACAAGAAATCATGTTCTACTACTGCAGGTACAGTGACTCCAAGTGCAAGAGGCAGACGCCCAAGAGGAGGAAGAGGGAAGAGGGGGGCAATACAAGCAGAAGGCAATCAGGGTTTGGTGTGTATGTCGATGAAGCTACTGGTGAAACCATTCTGGAAGTAAGTTCACACCTGACTTGTATGTTTAAGTCATTTCAATTTGTGGCAATGATGTTTTCTCATTTTGCTTTGTATGTTATATGCGGCCTGGCCAACCTGGAGAGACAGTGATTGGAGAACAATAGGAGGGATTGCTTTATTGAACATTTATGGAAGTAGTTTTTTGTCATTAGGTGGATGTAATGATAATGTACTATATTGGGATTGCTTTGGTGTATGGATGTAGGGCCGAGGTTCAAACTACCTTTTTTGTGTGATGACCATTGATGGGGTCATTTATTGCATTATTGTAGTTCAACGGGTACTATGCATTATTGCTGAAGAAAGATTGCTTTTGAACTATTTCATGGGGGCACTTCATTATTGGCAGTAATATATGTCAGTTCTTGAATTTCATGGGTGTACTACACCTTATTGTCCATACTTGAATGTCAGTTGTATATGAAATAATAGATGATCTTATCTTTGTGGTTTTAAGTGTATATTTTGAAGTTTTAAAACTACACATATTCTAAGTGTATACAGGTATATGAAATGCCACACAACATACACAATGAATACATTCCAGGAATCTAGATTCTTGACAATACAAAAGTACCTAAAATGAAAACATGTGGTGAACTTCTTCAAACATAGATACCATATGACACTACATTCCACTTTCTATGACAATAAACTGGTGGTGAACTTTTTCAAACATAGATACCATTACATCCAACACAATTCAACTATGATAGCTTGAATACATATTTGTTGCAAAGCACGGAAATACAGCCAACCCTATGACAACGAGCTTCCTGCACCTCTTTCTGGCCTTAACCTCATTCTCAAGAACGGTTTTTATAGTGGTTACATCTGCTTGAACATGGCTTAAGCGTTGGACAGCACCTTCAACCATGGTCTTTACTTCATCAAACTTAACTCTCTTTTGCCCAGGCCTGATCATGTCTTCTCTTCCTATGTCATCCTTCCACAAGAAGTAGCCGCACCCTTCTCCCTGTTGACAATACGAACACACCTATTATCACACGAACAGGTTCTTCAAATTCAAAATCACTACCAATACAAGATTTGTTCAAAACATAACCTGCTCAGCCTACAGTATTATATATGCACATCAAATCAAAAAATGTAAATTCTTTCGACGTTTTACCAGCCAATTTTGACGCCCATAGAATTGTCTTCCGCTCTCCCTTCCCACGCACAACGGCGCTTTCAATCCACACCAACAGTACACTGCAGGCTCGTAATTTGTAATGCTTCTTCGCTCTTTTGTACTCGTTGCTGTAGACGAGGAGGCCATTGTTGGTCACGAGGTCGACGGTGAGAAGTGGATGACCAGCGTCGAGGAGTGCTATGTCGCAGAGCTTCAAATTAAGGTCGTGAATTAGGGCACGGTGTGGTGTTGATTGGGGGTGGATACAACAACAACAACAACATCCAAGCCTTAGTCCCAAAAGATATTGGGGTCGGCTAACATGAATCGATACATGATATCACAACCAAAAGGAAAAGAAGGAATAAAGATACAAAGATAAGCTATTATGAAAAGATAATATACAAAAAAGATGAATATATATATAATTGATAAAATAAAAAGGCTGCCAATAATGCTTATATATATAAGGATAAAAAAACTAGGAAAAAAAAGATGAGGGAAAAAGATTATCAAGATCACTCCTTCAAGTGAATACCCGCCCTCCACTTAGTTCTCTCCAAAGTAATGACCTCATCCAACCCCAGAAGAAGCATATCACTTCGAAGTCCCCTAACCCACGTCTGTTTGGGTCTTCCTCTCCCTCTCTTCCATGCCTCTTCTCCACACATCTCAACTCGTGTAACAGGTGATTTAAGTGAGTCAGCACTGAAAGACCGATAGGCAAAGTCCACGTCAGCGCCAGGAAGGCAAGCAACGGGCAAACTGAGAACCAACCGGTAATGTAGACCTAATTGATTGATTTTGGAGATTTGGCGGATTCAATTGAAGGTTATCAAAGTAGGAGGGCTCAATTGAGGGTTCGCCCATAGTACGAGGGTGTAATTGACTGGTTTCCCAAGAAAAAAAGCTGCGCTCAAGTGAAAAAGATCCAAAATCCAAATTAAAAGAGGGCAGAAATCTTAGTCTTAGACTCTTAGGGGCCGCACCAGCAACCCAAAATCAGGAGAAAAATGAAAAAGATGCAGCCCAATAACAAAGAAAAGAAGTGCAGCGAGAGAGACTCCTAGTCTCATCCGAAGAGCCAAGTGCCGAAGAAGGTGGGGGATTGGACCTACATTTGGAAGAAAGGGTAGCTCCTGATTTCAGTCTTAGCAGCAGGCTTTCTTCATCGTGAAAGTTAGCAATTTAATTCAGAAATTTTCCTTTAGGAAACAACTCTGGTTTGATTAATTCTTTCTGTTCTAAAATTCCAATTTACTTTATTTTGTCATGCATGCCTAGTTTAATAAATTGAGTATTCAAAGTAATTGTTTGTTGATCATTAAGATGGTCAAGATGAACTCTTTAATTGTTGTTGATTTACTCTCAATCAGCTTTAGTATGAGTACTTAAATTTCTTAGGACATGTTTACTTCGATGGGTAATAAGCAGAGCTTATTAAAGATTCTGTTAACAAGTCATTTTTAATAAGAAGTGCGTAATAAAAATATGTTTACTTCAATTGAATGTCTTGCTTAGCAAGACAAATATATGTTTACTTCAATAAGATTAAAATATGTGTTAATTGTAAAAGGTCTAGAATAACCTTCAGCTTAACTAATACTACGTAAAAATCTTCGTCGCTCTTATCATCTCCGAAGGAAGCCTGCCTACTAAAATCCCTAGAGACCTTCATCGCTCTCACCATCCCAGAAAGAACTCTTCCTACTTTCCGCAATACCTTATCTGAACACAATCCATGGATTTCGAAAGTTCAAGAACAAAGAATAGGTATATTCAAAAATTCATAAATTGTACTTTATATTTCATTATTTTTGGTGTAATGGCTTTTGAACAAACACCGTTCCATTTAGTTCATTAATGGAGAATAGATTTTTTTTGTTGGACTCATTTCTATTTGGTGTTGTAATTCACTGCTGCAATTTTCAGTTATTATTTTTCAACTTTTCATTATAAAGTTACGTTCAAATTACTAGATTAAAAGGACAAGTCGGACAAAAGTTCCGTTCCATTTATTGATTAATGGTTAAATTACGTGACTTAGTCTTGACGCCATACGGAATAGTCATATTTCTATCTAGAACGACCCTCAATTTTAATTGACTAGCTAAATCACAAATACTAAAAGTTTCGTACCCAATTTTGATAGATTTTGATGATGACACTATTTAATTCTGTTTTGGCATGTCTTTCAGTTACTAAAAAATTATATATTGATGATCGGCGGCGTAGGAGAATTGGAGTTCTACGGCGCCATAGAAGAGTCCTGGTGCGACATGACTGCTACGCGGAAGAGTGATCGAGCGGAAAAAAAGAGAGAAAAATAGGGGTTTCTCTAGGCTCTTGATACCATGTGAGAATTAATGGGAAAGGTACTCCAATAGGAGTCCTGACATGTATATTTATAATAAAAGAGTTATAAACATACTAGGAAACAAATATGCCTAATAATATTCTATTAATCCCAACTATTGATTATTTTTGTATAATCCCAACTATATGGACCGTCCGCCAATAATCGTTCATGACCGCATATTATCTGCTCTAACAAGTGAATTTTTATAGAAATTAAGCATACAAATTAAAATTTGGGATTATTTATAGGGATTACCTACTATATCTCTTTAGAAACTATAGAAATTTATTTATAGTCGGTCATGTCGGACCATTATTGGCGGAAGGTCCCTAAAGTTGGGATTATTCTGAAATAATCGATAGTTGGGATTATTATGAGCGGATCAATTTTCCCCCCTTTTATCCATCACGAATATTAAAATAATGAGCGAACCTTAGAAACACGTTTTTCCCGAGCTAAAAACAATGAACTCATATGGAATTTGTCCCTAAGCTTTGTTACCTAAAAATCAAGGTCTTAGCCCTCTTCAAATAAGAAAAGCATGAATTTGGGCCAACTTAAGTCGAGCACAGCCCCGCGCATTATGTGTGTACGTCTATGTGCACAAAGTAAAAGTCAACATCATGGCGTGCATGTGCATGCACACTTGCGATAAAGTAAATATGGACAAAAAACATGTGCATGGTCAAATGATCGTGCACATGATTTCAATATCTTATGCTCCATTTCTTTGATAAAAATGTTGACTAATAATCTATAAACAAGAATTACTAAAAGGTGGTTTGACTCTTTGGTATACAAATGTTTTTTGAGCAAGGGCGGATTGGGGATTATTGAAGGAGAGGGTGTTGTTGGCAGAGTCCTTTTTTGGAGGTTGTAAAGTCTATTGTACTCGTGTTTAATAGAACTTAATCATTGGGGGTGGGTCGTTAGGATTAGGGTAGCAATGCTGCTTGGCAGCGCAACGTCGGTGTTATGGTCACTGTTGGAGTGTATGGTGCGGGTCGTTTTGAGGTAACTGTGCTATGTTTCAAAGTAATTAGACATGAGTTCGTGCATTGGACATGAGTCACTGATATGGGTTAGCAGCTATATATGGATGACAAGTCACTCGACACTAGTAGTTAGATGGCAGGAGTATCCGTTAGTGAATATGGTTTGTAATAGATGCGATCCGCTAGGGTTAGCGTGATCCAGTGACTATCCTGCAAGTACCACGAACATGGTCATTAATGGGACTTGTGATGGATTTTGTGGTGACAAATATCTAGTGACTAGGGTAGTGAGGTGGCTCTCATTAGTTAGTCAATATCGACTACGACGGCGGTGTGAGGGTGATGATGGTCGATGGGGTGGCTAGACGACATTGATTAATTATAAGAGTGTAATACGGAGTATTACAATAGTAATTGTAATATCTAATAAAGGACATTAATGATATGATTGGCACTCTTTTGAAAAACTTTAAAACATGTTTTTGTCTTTTGTACTTATTTTAGTACTCCCTTCGTCCCGAAAAGGTTGACCAAAGTTGACTTGCACATGGATTAATAAAGTAAAAATTGTGTGGTTGAAATTTGTGCAGATGAGAGAGAATTAATTTTAGCCACATATTCATTACTTAAAATGGAAATGGCAAATCTTTTTGGGACATCCAAAAAAGGAAAATTGGCCAATCTTTTCGGGACAGAGGGTGTAATATTTATAAAAATGTCATCTTTTAAAAGGAGAATTTGTATCTTGGCCATTGATAGTGTGAAGGAAAATAATATTGCCGATATACTTTTCATTTTAAATTTGACAGTCCTAAGAACCTAATGGCCAAGATACTTAAAATTGTTCGCGAAAAAACGTATCTTAGAGCTTGTT